TCTAATGTTAGAAAAGTTAACGGTGCAAACTTAACCCGGCAATTCTCAGCTTTTTCGTCGTTACCGAAAGAACCCAGTTAAATGCAGCGCATGCGTAGTAAGTAAAAAAATTGCAATTGAGTGGAAAATTGCTTTCTCGGAAATATGCTTATTTCTAGTTGTAGTAGTAGTAGTAGTAGTAGTAGTAGTAGTAGTAGTAGTAGTAGTAGTAGTAGTAGTAGTAGTGAACTTTATTTATGTGTCGTGAAAACCTAGCGCATAGCACTAATTGGGGACACAGGGTAAAAGCTTTAAAAATAAGAAATCTGGAACCTATTTACAGAATTATTTACCTAACCTATTAACAGTTAAAATTATTTATCAATGTCCTAGAGTTAAAAATCAACTATTACAGAGCGCACATTTTTTGCATCCATCATCAATCATGACAGTCATGTCCGTTCTCCTGATTTTGCTCTCGTGTTCACGACGAACCATAGGAAATATCTACAATCGCTGAGACACACAGTGATTAAATAGCATACCCGCCTGCTTGTAAGCCAAATTACTTACCTTGTAGTTTACTTTAAGTATTGATAGTGAAGAAATCTTCGTCGTAACTGCTCCAGTCAGGGGCTCATGGAAAATTGAATAGTATCATGAGACTCACTTAAAAAAAAAAAAAAAAAAACAGGTAAAGCAATTTAAGTGTTTTAGGCGGCTTATAAAGAAACCAAGTGATGCCGCATCGATGTTTTTCTCTGGAGAAGTACATGATCGATGGCTGTAGATCTAGATGAATAGTTATAACAAGAAGTTCTAGATAATCTTCCATGTTTCTCGTACCCTATCAGTTAGCACACAGTGCAGTACACAATTTATATGAATTGAGGAACGCATTCCAAAATCCTCACAAAAGCGAGCAGCTGAGTTTCTTTCGGCGAGGACGCACATTGAGTGATCGGTATCAAAAACGAATCTTATCCTACTCTAAAATCATCGCACCGACAGGTTTTCCTCTCAAACATTTAAAACAAATTTGACATTTCACCATCAGCTTCGAGTAGCAGTGTCTAATGGCGGAGTTCGGGTTAAACGATTAAAGCTTGAAAAAAAGACGTTGAGAACAATTGCCGAGGGAAATAGTGGAAACCATCACCCGCCATATAATCATTAACCCCCCTCCCCGAAAAAAGAAAGCCCGTGTGAAATGTAATGGACCGTATAAGAACTGAAATAACGCACAGCGAGTGACAAAATTAGAGACCGGTCTTAATTTCAAGGTTTGCACAGTCCGAGCGCATGAAGAAACACATGTTTTCAAAATGACACGTGACTAAACGTAAAGCCTAATATCTGTGGCATGTGTTCAGAAATCTCGCAAAATATTTTGACCTTTCTTGTTTCTCTGCCTTTTGTTTTTTAAACCGTCTCTCATGTGATTGACCTGAGTAACCATGACACTGAAAGGAACAATTTTTTTCCTTTTGTTAAATTCAAAGACAAAAAAGTTGTTCATCTTGCTCTTTTCACTCAAACAACACTTGTTATGTGTGTGGGGTCAAAGCCCGGAGTAAGTTTAACTTGCAATTCTTGGTATTGATGCACCATCCAATATTTCCAGTCCTGGCCCCATCTTAGACCAAGAGAAACTGTTTTCAGACCCGACCTCTAAAATCCTCATCCAACTTTCCGAAATCTGACCTGACCTCGTGGTTTGCGAATGGTCTGAATGATCTCGTGCTTTGTGAGGTCGATACATTATCTAAGCATTGTATAAATTTTGTGGTATAAGTATTTGACATTTTGTCTCAGAAATTTTACCCTTAGGAAACTGCACCTGAATGTGGCGTTATGAGCCCAGAGCAGACAGTTTTCCGTCCGCTGATGCAGGGTAATTCCAAGACGAATAGCAAAACACAAATTGATTAGTTGGCAACTTCAGCTCGAAAAAATATTTGGTAACTCCCCTTTCCCTACTATTCATTTGGAGTTGAAAGACAACTGCATTTATTCGCTCACATCGGTTTGCTTGGAAATCATACTCATTAGAAATAGTAATGATGCAAAAATCTATACCCGTTTTCATACCTAAAGGGCGATAAGACCGTACTCTTTTGGACAGCACAAAGCTGTAGAGTTTAAGCATTTTGATACTATTCGCTGTATCCTGTGTTGTTACTCCAACTAAAAATTAGAGGCTGAGAAATGGATTAATTTAGTTGTGTAAGCGTAATTCCTTTAATTATCGCTTCTCGTGCAAAGCCAGAACTCCCAGTTTCCTGAATAGCTGCACGCTTTAGCTAGAAACACGTGAATGATTTTCACGTGTAAACACATCCCAAAACATAACATTAATTTTCATGAAAATATCGGTGGTATGATAACAGATATCGTAAACAAATCATTTCGTATAATGGCTTCCGAAGCAGTTTTTTTTAAATGATATGGAGCTTTTAAAGTGTCACGTTATGTAAATTTTCCAATTTTTCCTTAGTAAGATTAATGTTTTAAATTTATCTTAGTTACTAAGCAAAAATTAGCAACAGAACTTAGTTAAATTTGAGTTTCGGAAAGTTTATCCCACCTGGTCTGCTGTTTTTCTGTAGTCGTGAAATGATCAAAAAAGGAAAGGAAAATTCAAAGAAATTTGCTTATATTCGGATGTACCCATCGAGACTTGACAGATTTGAAATCTCCAAATACCTTGACTGGTTTTGCAAATGTTTCTCTAATTATTTGAGTCAAGCACTTAAAATGTTAAACGGTTTTGTTATGACTCAATTTACCCCTGGAGAGAAGGTTTCGGCTTCCAGTTTGAACATAATTACGACACTCGATATTTGAACTGATATCTTTAGCAGCACAATGATTTTTACTGTTTTAAGACCTGCAAACATGTTCCTACCTTGGTTCAGAGTTATTCGTTGATTTCGCTGGGATGGAAAGCTACACAATTTCTTGTAGATAAAAAGACTTGAAGTTCGAGATTGCTTTTCGAAAGTATGGTTACTCTTTCAAATAAAACTTACCAGATTCACTGAACTACAAAAATCTAGCTAAGTTTAGTTAAGTAGTAAATTGTGAAACTCGCCTTTTCCCCGGCGATTAAACCAAGGGCATGCGTAGAATAAATTGGACCAAAAGTTTTGGGTCCGGAAAAAATAGAAACTGCTTTAAAAGAAGCAAACTTTAGCAAATTGATAAACACCAAGTAATCCTAAATTTTACTGTGTTTTTTTCCGGCTGAAATTCAAATGAGAAAAACTTACAAAATTACTATTTCCGCATACTAAGATGCACGTGCGCAGCCGGACCTCAGTTAGTCTAAACAATGGAAAATGGCTTTTTGTGCACAGCGTTTCTTCTGTTCCGGTGTTCCGGCAGCAGGTACGTGGAACAGTATTAATAGAACATAAATAGAAAAACTTCCAACCAGACGTAGAAACCACTGGGCCTCGAGAAACATTACTGGATCCTGAACTTCGTCAGAAATGTACGTATAGAGTATTTAACAGTAACTGTAATATACAAGTAAGTATAACATACATTGATTGTTATCTAAAACTAACAAAAATTGAAGCCACATGCAAGTAGCCTTCCGTTTGAATGGCTTTGAATTGGTTCCCTATTCTCTACGACCTTGACAATGCAATGCATGTTCTTAACATCTATGGCACTAAATTTAAAGAGCACGTATGAAATACGGTTCCTTGAAGGAAACTGAGAAAGGAATTGCTTAGTAAACCTCGGAAGGAATGAGATCTCTGCGCACGATGAAGAGGTTAGGTCTATTACTTACCAATATACGGCTGCACGGCTTTCCTGCATTCTGATTGGCTGCATTTTCCATCCTCTTACTGATTCTCTGCGGTCTCTTTGATAGTGCTACGTGTGGATATTCATCGTCAAGGACACTTGACTGACTTGGTTTGTGTTTTGTTCGTCTTTCGCGCGCGCCGTGTAATCAATACGTTTCTCGAATGATGGCGTTTGATGTATTTCGAAGACTGGCGGCCAAGATACTACAAAATGAAAAAGTAACTGATCGAACAATGCCTCACGCGGTGGTCTAAGATAAAATACGAGCGATTGTTTTTGCTAATTCTCAATATTTTTTCTCTTTCCTATGGCACTCTAGAAAAGTGTTACGCAAGTTGCAAAATAGCAGCACAAGCATAATATGTTACACCATCGAACAAGGGGCAAACGTGGTGCACTTTATCCTGTCAACTGATAGATTTATGTCAAGCAGATCTCCCTTTCGATAAAATACCTGAAAAACTCCTTTCTAAATTGGACTGGAACCGTAAGGGTGATCTTCAGTGACAGATTTGTTTTAATTGACCATGGCCTAAAGCACGAGAGTTTTACTGCCTTTTAATCATCTAAAAAATTCGCACATATAACGGAAAATTACGGAAACGCCATTTTAACATCCTGCCATAAATCCGATTTAATTCCCTGCACGAATACAAATTATCATCTAATAGGAAGCGCCAGTGCCAGCAAATCAGATTCAGAAAACAGCATAAGCTGTATATAATGCTTTTACTTTCTTTCGCGGACTTTAAAAGCCTCCGTCTCCTAAAACGATTTCACAGCATGCAATGGAGTGTGTTGCAACGTGGGCTTTCCAATAAGGTGTCCTCCTGTAACGCATATTGAGACAAATTCTCCGCGAAATCTCGGGGGAAAAATTCTGCTCCATACCGAAAAAACAAAGGTGTGTTATGTGTTTACCTCTGTTCTTGTTTGATAATTTGACGTATGATTTATAAAGATAATTACTTTTGCCCAAGATAACAAAGCAATGTGTTTGATAATGTAGCACTTGCCTAAACTGACCAAAACTTGTGTTGAATCCTTAAATACAATTTTTTCATTTTTATATTCCTATTTATATATGGAATTACAAACACATAATCATGTTTCAGAGGCAGAATGAAAATCGCATATAACCAAAAAAAAACACGATTTCAAATTGAAGTTTAAAAACGAACGATAGGGGTAAAAGGGAGAATAGTTTAGATCGCACTAGGGGTGCCTGGGGAAAAGACGAAAACAACGCAAACCAAACCATAACAAAGTGTCCTTTACGATAAAGTTCAAGCATGAAGGAAGAAAAAAAATCGAAATTTGAACCGTTTCAGTTGCGGTCACCTTTTTTTCGCTCTGCTTTCCGTTCATATTTTTTCTTGTACTTCAGGTTACACCGTCGCATATTTCGCGCGTTCTGGTTCCCTGATATAGCGTATATCATGCAACTCATTTATTCAATCAATAAATTTGCGTTGGGCAGATCTCACATTTCAATAAAATACCTAAAAATTTCCTTTCTAGATTTGAGTGGAAAAGTAAAGATGATCTTAAGCTAAAGCATTTTTATAATTTGAAATCACACAAATTATGGAGAATAGCGGCAAACGCCATTCACATACCCTGCATTCATATCATCTTACTGGGTGCCAGTATCAGAAATATTCAACTTAGAAGGTTATAGAAGGCTATCAAAACTGTGTTTGTTAACGTGGACTTCACAAAACTCTGTCTCCTGTCTCAGCAGTGCTATGAAGCGTGTTAGTTTTCAGCTAAAACGTGGGCACTGAAATAAGAAATCTTTTAACACATCACAGGCGTCCCGAGCTCACGTCTCGAGAAAAAGCAAAAGATTAATTCATGAAAGCGTCGCGCGTTATGTGACACGGGAAAGGAACACGAAGATCCGTTACGAATTTGAACGCGTTGTAAGGAATAGTACGCTATTTGCAGCACTAATTATTCCTAAAAATGAACAATTTTCACCTAAGATCAGTAAACGTAAACTCTTTGCGTGTCTGTTGTGGTTTTTGGTGATCTCTTCTGTTAGCACTGTTATTCCTGTCACAGGACGAAGTCAAGGTCTTCGTCTAATGACAGGATTCTAGCGTTGAGGAGGTTCTGTCTCGGTAACGAGACTTTTCCAGGCCGATCAAGAATAAAATAAGAAGCAGAATTGTTTCCACTGAACAATCAGCCTCACTACCATGATACATGACAGCAACTTTACTTAAGAGGATTAGGAAGGACAGAGACGACTGAAAAACGGCAAGGATATTGTTATATTACCAGACGACTATTGTTATGGACAAAACTGACCATTTCGACGAGATAGGAAAAAAAATTGAAAACTTTCCATAACGTGACACTTTAAAAACTCCATATCAGTTTGAAAAACTACTTCGGAAGCCATTATACGAAATGATTTGTTTATGATACTTGTTATTATACCATTGATATTTTCCTGAAAATAAATGTTATGTTTGGGATGTGTTTACACGTGAAAATGATTCACGTGTTTCCAGCTAAAACATTCAATATAGGAGACTGAGAAACCTACAAAGAGGTCAAACGTGACCCACTTCAACGCAAAGTCAATAGAAAAACTATTTACGTCAAAAAGGCCTGACGCCTTGATAACTGACCTTATTTCATAACTTTCACTGTCCCATTACTATATATAGAATAATTGTTTAGGAATCTCTCTCTTTCCATTTGTGTATCATAGCGGGTGGAATGTACAAGAAAGAATGTACAAGAAAGAATGCACAAGAAAGTGAATAGTTCTCTTCATCTCAATTTTAGTAACTGGGGATGTGCCCCAAGGACCTTTAATTCAGCGTTTTCTGCGGGAATATTACAAATTCATTCGTAGCTTGTTTCCCGAAACATTGCCTAAATCTACAACTGCTCTTTTTAAGCAAAGATTTTGGCTCCACAGGAGAAGTTGAACAGTTTCTGGGAACGCACGCACACAAAAGACAAGGAAATGGAAGAACTTGGTCCTCATGGACACAGATCTTACTTACTTTATGGCGCCACTATGTTCATCATTTTAACCCTTGGCCTCATTGGGAATTTCCTCACCATTATTGTTCTGTTCCACCCGCAACATCGAACCAAGAGTATGACTCCTCTTATGGTAAACCTGTGTATTGCAGACCTTCTGGTGTGTTTGTTTGGATACACTGTGGCAGTGAACTACAACACGGCAGATTTTGCAAACACTGGCAGTGCCCCTGCTCTTTGCTACTGGCTTGCCTTTATCAACGCAGCCACAGGCCTCGCCTCCATCGGTACTTTGGCTGTCATGGCCATCATGACATATTTGGGTATCTCTAGAAATGAGATCGCACAGCAGAACAGGATGACAGGCAAGGTAGAGACGATGCTGCTTACAGGTAAAAATCTCTGGTTGTACTAAGATTAAGAAAAACGCCCAAAGAAAGTTACATTTCCAACATTACAGAGACATTCGACCGCTAAACAAAGCGCTCTTCTTAATTTAACCGCCATAATTATTTTCTCACCGAACGATTACTTTGCTACCCGAAAGTGAATTTCAGTGCTTGGTTTTTCAACCTCTGTGTGTAATCACGTGCTTTATTTTACTTCATCCATATGATTATTTATGACGTGTTTAGAATTATAAACTTTTATTTTATAATTACGTCAACTTTTTATTATTCCAACTCTCCCCATGACTATCTTCAATAATCTAAACGTAGAATTAAATTAGCGAAATGAGAGTCTGTGAGATTCAAGGAAAAAATGTACAGTATTTTTTTGGCCATTTTTAAGGAAAGAAAAATAGTTTTTCTTTTTGGTACAGAAAAAAAGATGTTATTGAATGTTTTAGGTATTATAAACAATCACTATATTATGACACTCAGCATGCATACACTAAGCAGAAATACTCGTTTTCAATAACAAAGGAAGGGCTTAAGGAAAAGAAATTGGTTGGAAGGCTTAATTAACTTGGTTGTAAAGCGCACTTAGAACTTATTAAAATCAAGATTCATCTCTCTTGTAAAAATGTATCATCACGATCAAATTAAAACGGCCTCCGCGTCTCAGGGTGCATAACTCGTGCAGGTTGCAAAGTGTCTTCTTGACATTTATCGTCGATAAGAAAAATCCATGTTCTCATAGTCAAAATATCGGTGTTTCCTCTGTTCTGTTCGAAACAAACGGAATAGTCATAATTCTAGATTTTCCTTATCTACCACCAGGAATCTGGCTGTACGCAATTGTGTTGACGATTCCTCCGGCTTTGGGTTGGAACAAATTTATTCCCATTCCTTCACGAGTAAGCTGCCATCCTGACTGGTATTCCCACGACCTCAGCTCCAGGTCTTACATCATATATCTGGTAACGTTTGGCTTCTTTATCCCTTTGGTGATCATACTTGGGAGCTACGGAGGAATATACAGGTATCAGTACGGAATGATCACAGAATACAGAGGAAATAATTATACAAATAGTAATACAATTCAAACTTAACTTGATCTTAATGATTGATCATTGATACATGCAAATGCGCATCTCTTGAAATCCTACCTGCAACGATGGTCAACAGACGAATCTTTCCAGGTGGCTGGTTCGATGTGACCTTTTGAGTGCACAGAACAGTTTACCTGGGAATATTGTGAAAGTGGTTAGCCAAACAACATTCATTAAAAAATTGTAATTTCTATTCTGAGAAAAATCAATTTCATCCTTTTAAATTAATTTTGAAGTGATTTTAAGCATGATTGTAAATTTTATGTCCAAGGAAGTTTTTCATTTTGGTGACAGCTGATCGTCCAACAAAAATAAATTAGTGTCTCATCTGAATGTATTTACGGTGGATCAACATGGCTTGAGACAATCGCTTGCAGAATTGAAATAGAAATATAGTTAAATGCCATATATCTACATCGCCAAATTGTTGTTCGCCCTAAATCTGTAAAGAACCACTTGGCAGATTACTTCCGATTCTGCGCATGATTCATCTCCTCCCCGTCATGGATATCCGTCCGTCTACGTTATACAAAAGCGAACGTAACACGCCTAAATACATTGATCTCGAATTTTGAATCCAGTAAACTTTATAGACAATTTCTTTCAAGGGAGGAGGAAGACAATATTGTTTTCAATGAGGCATCTGAAATGAGGCCTTTTTAATTCAATTGTAACAATTGATGGGTGAGTTCAAATCTAAACGAAAACGAGTTTTATTTCTTTCTCTTTCTTAATTTCCGTTATCTGTCTCGCGGATAAGATTCCAAGAGATGTGTAACGCGATCCCATGTATCAGCGGTCAGTCTCTAAAACCGAGTCGCGCTGCAATTGCGCTGTCTATTTAACTGGAAAACACATCAACGTCAAAACCTCTGCTCCTTCTGAGATGATATGAAAAATTTAGAAGAGCAGGTATACTAGTGTCAGTGAGGAAAAATTAATACACATACACCTCCCAAGAGAAGCTTTCCAACAAGTGGCCAATTGATTTTTGATCTGCAATTTTAGTCACTGTAGAGAGCTGAGACGGGAATTGACCCCGTCCCTCCACACTACTACTTATTAAGCCACGAGCCCACATGAAAGATTTATTTCCATTACATGCATTTAAAAATCACTTCACAGCCTGATTTTTTTTTCAGACCCACTTTTATTACATTTTACTTAGAGAGAGCAATTCGTCACTTGTTAGCTTCTCAATGGGCCAGAAATATGATACAATATGATATACTATATATATGATATACTCTATTCGTATATGTACTCGCTTTGTGTTGCAGCCCTATCAGTCTGAGTTTTGAGGAAGAAATTTCAAAAAGGCGTGGACTAATTGAATAATTTCCAAGTAACATGGTTCTTTGTTTAATTTATTAATGGTATGATAAAACTGTTGCAGTCATTATCAATCGAGCATTTAAAGAATTTCTTTTAAAAAATTTCATCTTTTCACCCGGTACCCAAACGCATATAAGCGTCAGGATATCACAAGAATTATGTCAATAACAAAATGCGAGAAACTCAGGAATGAAAATTTTTAATGTAAAAGCACCTATTCTACTCTGATACTGAAAAATAGCCATTGGACTAATCAATTTCGTCCCTGTTTGTTTTCAATGAGGACATCTCAATATGTTGTCATTAGACATCTAATGTCGACTAACTGAGTTTCCATAATTGGCAGGTGCATTCGAAACAGCTCAGTGCCCGGGGCAAGTGAGGAAGCTCGGGTGCGGCAAATACGGTCCAGAAATAAAACCGTTCGCCTAGTGATTTCCATGACTCTGGCATATTTTGTAAGCTGGTCGCCGTACTGCATTGTCAGCGTGATCGGTACCGCAATCGGCCACGAAAGTGTCTCCCCTTCCGTGTCTCTTGTTCCTGAGATAATGGCAAAGGCCTCTGTGGTCTACAACCCAATCCTGTACGTGTTGCTTAACGCAAAGTTCCGAGTCACTCTGATGCAGCTGTTTAGTTGGAGCCGGGTCGGTAATGCCATTTCTGAGGACTCCAATGCTGATGACAACACAACAGGGGTAATGGAAATACAAACAAACTCGCTACGACATCGAGATATGTAAAGTAATTTTGATACTACATCTGATTAAATCCGACCAATACAGTCACGGTCAGACATTTTCTTAATGAACTCTTAGATTTTAACTTTAAAACCTTCACACTTTTTTCACGACAAAGTAAATAGAAGAGTTGAGGCTCAATGGTGTAAACAGATATCCTCGATCACTGTTGTCTGACGGGTGTCTGACACTGAAATGGCCGACGTGATTACACGAAATTAGTATTTTGTCGATTTGGTAACAAGTAGAACCTTCCACTTTTTGTAGCGCCTTTGCACATCAATTTTTGTTTGTCCTGTCGACTGTTTTTGGTTGGTTCGATTTGTCTGTTTTATGGAAAAAACCGTTTTGGGTTTATATTATTTGGTTGATCTTGTTTTTCAACCGTCATCAAACTAAATTTGAGCGGTTGAAAAGGCACAAGTAGCCAGCAGTGCCGTTTTCGCGGGCTGACAGAAGTTGACCGTGGGCTTCAGAAGCCGGTTGTGACGCTAACTGTTAACAAAAACAACATGGCGAGTTACTCGTGCTCTCTTCATACACTGGATACGAAGGATATAAATGCTTATATTTTACCATTACTTATGGGAGTGCACAAAGCACGCCAAAATCCGACTTCCTTGTTAACTTCCTGGTAATAGGTATTCCCATGGGTAGCACCTTTTAACCGATACTGCATGGTGAAGTGATCCATTGGGAAACTTCAACTACTTCAGCATCAAGGGGTTGCGGTTGGAACGATTGATCCCAGTTGAACACGATCTTAGGTTTTAACTTTATCATTCCAACCAAATAGAATTACGCTATGGAATGTAGCTAACGTTAATCGCAGACGTTCTTTTCAGCGGTTCATTTGCGCCAAAACAAAGAAAGAAAGAAGGTTTGCATGGCGTCAGAGGAACGCAATCATTCAATTAGACAACAAGGGATGCCTTACACGTGGAGAAGATTGTCAAATAGTTTAGGCTCAAGGGAACTTGATAAAAAAAATATAGTATTAGAGAACATGGAAACTCGTTACCTAGTTATTAAGGGACGTGGAAGGAACATCAGATCACTTAGGAAACATGAGTTCAAATCCAACCTCAGCTTAGGATTCCCACAAGTCTGTTTTGTTCACATAAATGAGACCATGGTAGGCATAAACAATGTAGGTTGTAACAGAGAGCCAGCGCTCTTGCTATAGCTTATTAAAGATTTTACAGCATATAAGTTTGGTGTATAGATATCATATGAGCTAGTAGAGTGAGTTGTATTTTGCAATGATCAATTCGTGGGCCAATATGTTATGAAAAAGTTTGCGCTAAAGCATCGAGCATCAAAACATTATTTGGTAACATACAACTTGGGTAGATTTGAGTTTAAAAACGATTATTAGTTCTTAGAGGTATTTTTAAGGGTCCCAATTTGCCATTGTATGGTGCGTTGTAAAATACTTGTGAGATAGGGGAGGACCACATTGTAAATTAAATACAAGCTAGAACATGAAGTTCTGAATATTTGCGTCAAAAATTCTTCGCAGTTTTTTTTTTTTTTCTTCACCCTGATTTGCGATCAAAGTCTACGCAAGCTAACTTCGTGAGCGCAAGGGAAGGAGCCAGCTTCATCTTTAGAAGAGGTAGGTTTTATGCTTTGTTATTTCTCTTACTTACTTTTACTTAGCTTAAAAAGTGGAGTTATTACACACCCACCACTTTGTAATTGACACTCAAATATTTCCAACCCCGTATCGAGCAAAACCCTCACCCCACATCCCTTCCCCCATAGGAATAAAATGACCAAAATTTTAAGTCTCTTCTTATCTGAGGTTCCAAAAATGCTCAGAATACCTTCCAAGTGTAGGAATAATTCAGGATCGATCCTGTTGAACACAGGGAAGGATGGTTTTTAGACTCTTCATCAAAGCTAATTGACATTCTCGTGTTTTCAAATCTTGCGTTAGTGCATTCGGTTGGGGTTCCTAAAAAACGATCAGCAACCAGTTCCTTGTTATGTGTATTACTCATAGCTTCAAGAAGTATGACACTAAAGCTTTTAGTGGGGAGATTCCCAAGATCCTGGGATATCGATATCGAGTCGACGAAAAGGTAGACAGCTGTAGTGATCAGATCAACTGATGATAAACTTTAACTAGATCAGTAGATCACCCATAAAAACCGTCACACTTAAATATAAATCCAGCTCTTGTCCTTATGGAAATATCTAAAAACGTACCATCGACAGGAATAAGTTAGTAGGAAGTCTCGCAAATGTGATTCTCTTTACGGTTGTGAGACATTTAAAGCCCTGAGACTTGAGATAAAAGTACCTCGTCCAGATGGCTGAAGTACATTGCTTGAACGATGAAATAAATCTAAAAATTCAGGCTGTAGTTGCAAAGTTATTCGCAAAGTTTTATCAAAGAAGCCTGGATAGATACATTTCTTCTTGGCAAGGAATTCAAGATCGTGGTCTGAATAGTTTGAGCCCTCCAGTTCCTTTGAACTCAACCGATGAGAATCTGCTCTATTTGTACTGTGTATCGAAAGTTGTTATGTTGATTCCTCAAATTAATACTCCAGGGCCGAGTTGTTCAAAGGTGGGTTAAGATAACCTAGGGTCAGTGTGAAATTTGATTTCAGATCTGAAAGCTTTAGAAGAAAAATCAGTTTAATTCCATTTGTCTACAATTTGATGATTGAATTCTATTAAAAGAATTGGGAAAATTATCCCAAAACGGCTTTTGAACAGAGAAATATAGAAACCTGGATTAAAATTTAACCCTGGGTTAGCGCTAATCGGCCTTCGAACAACTGGGCCCTGGTTTTGAAAAGTTCCCATTAGAGTTATCATACTGTTTCCCATATATGCCTAGTAACAGTGCTGGACTAGTAAAGTCGTCTTTCGAAAGCATTACTTTTCCTCGCGTATGGAAAAGACCACACGTCATCCCGTTCTAACAAGGTGGAGATCATGAGGTATCGAACAAAAACCGTCCAATTTTATCGCCTCCTGTAAAATTGCTGAACGTATTCCTCTGCGCCAGCGCATTGCTTAACCCATTCAAGATCAAACTCGCTCTACATCAGAGTGGCAACAGACAAATTAGAGAGAAATGTTGTCTCCATTTTAACGATCAGGCAGTTGATAAGAAAAGGACAAGCGGCATGCTTTTGACAGCCTATCACAATAACTTATTGCTACGCAAGCTACAAGACCAGGGTCACTCCGGTTCGACAGTTATCGTTCTGAAAGATATCAGGGCTTTCACCCTTACCTGTTCAGCTGAACGGAGTTCCTAAAGGATCCGTATTAGGATCCCTATTGTTCGTGCTTTACATCAATGGTCTAACAAAGATTTTCTCAAATTGCGAACTAAAACCCACGTGGACGATACTAAACTTTACCTTTCTTTCAAATAAGTGGGTATCAAATTAAGTCCTGTTAAACACTAAAACCAGTATATCAGATAGCTTATAGGAAAAGGTTTTTATTGTCGGCGGCTACTGCCGAAGTCGATTACGATAAGAATCGAAACTAGGACTTCCTGCTTACTGGGTGATCTTGTATTGTTCAGTGTGTGTAGCTGTATAATAATTTCTATGATGCCTGTGTTGACCCTTTTTTTGCTCATGACAGCCGATTCTTTGCACAATTACCCTGTTTCTAACAATCGGTAAACTGATTTTCGCTATTGCATAAATAGCGCTCTCTACTGCGAGGATCGTGCATCATACGTATTTAATACCGCAGTTCAAAATATATGAACTTCATATATACATTATATCCGATTTATCATCACAGGTTTATTACGAATCAACTTAACGGCCCACTCCCAGTTGGCTTTGTTAGCTCAATTGGTAGAGCGCTGCACTAGTATCGCAGAGGTCAGTGGTTCGAATCCCGTGCAGGCCTGAATTTTTTCAGGTCTGATTTTCGCTATTGCATAAATAAGCGCTCTCTACTGCAAGGATCGTGCATCATACGAGTCGGTAAACTATAAATATTTCACCTAAATTTTCCAAAGATCTGTAGATCGTTAATTGGAACAACTGCGTCGAGTCATGGTTAATTTATGCACTTGATTTAATATTTTCACTATTCTGTTGGTGATTCTCGAGTGAAGAAATTTTCTGCCTTTTGCAAGGGGACATTGCCTGCCTGCAAAAGGATGTGACGTCACATTTCCCAAGGAACAAGAAAATATTTGATATAGAACCTCAAGTATCTGTTTCGTTTAAAATTCAAGATAATTTGGTTTCGTCAACTGAGTTGGTAATGTAGATTGGCGACCGTAAAGACTTTCCAAGTCGACGAGCGTTAGCCCTTCATCAGAGCAAATGGAGGAATTTGTTTCTATAAAGAAGATGGAGCAACGCTATTGGTGAGAACATGGTGACGAGAAAAAGTTTGCGGCTTTCCGAACTGCCAAGATGTAGGGAAAGGCTGCAGTGCTGACTGTCAATCAATTCGTTGAGAGCGGTGGTAGCCCGCTTGAATGACAGAAACAAGAGAGTCACGTTTTTCGAAAAACTGGCGCGTTGCTTCTGATTTGTGGGAAAAATCAGAGTCGTCACTACATAAACACGTTTTAGATGCGAAGATGAATACACCAAGTACCAATGTGAGTCTGTAGGTTTGTAGTACACACTGGTGCCGAGACTGTTTCCTTCAATTGAAACTTTGATAATTAAAAAAGCCAAAGGGATGTCGAAAATGCTCCAGGTATGCTTTGGATCGGGGTGAAAGGAATTGATGGCGATTATAAATTGAGTTGACAGTCGTCATTGTGGTGACCGTAGAGTTCAGGTTTGGGGCTATTCATGTTTTTCACTGTTTTGAAGGTGAGTTTTTTCGCTGTGGCCGGCAATTTTTTTTTTTTTTGGATCTAAGATCGTTAATCGTATTTTTGACAATGTTTTAGTGAAAAGAAGGGGAATCTTTCCCACCTTTTTCATAATGTAAAACGATGTAAAATGTTTTGGAAGAGGCGATAGAACAAGACGTATATGGATGGTTCTCACACCAAAGAAGTTCAAGAAATATGGACCCCAACTGTCCAACTTTTAATGAGTTCTTTGAAACAGAAAATGCATTATCAGAAGAAATCGCGAAAACGTGCGAAGGTGTCATGTCTATCAATGAGTGTGAAATTGCGTTAAAAACTATGGAAAACAACAAAACTCCCGGCACGGATGGGCTAACGCCTGAATTCTACCGCTACTTTTGGAACTTGCTCGGTTCATTTATGGTAAATAGCTTTAATTACGCTTTTCGAAACGGTACTCTCTCCATCTCTCAGCGCCAAGGAATTATTTCCTTAATTCCGAAGAAGAAAAAGAATACCGAATATTTAAAAAATTGGCGACCTGTATCTTTATTGAATGTAGACTATAAAATCGCAACGAAGACCATCGCTCTGCGTTTGGAGAAGATCTTGCCGAATTTAATTCATCCTTGCCAATCTGGGTACGTTAAAGGAAGGTTCATTGGGGAAAGTATCAGGTTAATAGCAGATACAATGCATTTCACAAAAGAGAAGAATATTCCAGGGGTAGCCGTATTTTTAGATTTCGAGAAAGCGTTTGATTCGATTGAGTGGAATTTTATTCATAAATGCCTCGAAACGTTTAATTTCGGTCTTGATCTCCGACAGTGGATAAAAGTGTTCTATACAGATATCTCTAGTTGTGTTTTGAATAACGGGTACGCCTCAAAACATTTTCATCTAGAACGCGGAGTGCGTCAAGGTTGCCCACTTTCCGGCACATTATTCATTATTGCTATTGAGCTACTCGCGCAAAGTATTAGATGCTCAAAAGAAATAAAAGGTATCACAATAGATGAACATAAAGAGGTCAAACTTTCGCAATATGCAGACGACACAACTGTACTTCTGTCTGATGTTCAATCAGTGTCAAAGTTATTTGATTTATTATCACTTTTCGAAAGGTGCTCTGGTCTAAAACTAAATCAAACAAAATCTGAAATGCTATGGCTTGGCTCTGTAAGCCACAGAAAAGATTCTATACTTGATCTTCAAATGAGCGGTGAGCCAGTTTACGCGCTTGGAGTGCATTTTACATATGACCTAGAAATGTCTGAAAAGAAAAATTTTTTGGACAAATTAGATTCTTTAAAGAAAACATTGAACATGTGGTCCCAAAGAGACCTCTCCATCGTTGGTAGGATAAATATAATTAAAACATTGGCACTTTCAAAACTTGTCTTTATCTGCAGCGTCATGTGTACCCCTAAAGACTTCAGTAAAGAAGTAAACAGGATCGTGTTCGACTTTATTTGGAATCACAAACCCGCCAAAATAAAAAAGACTACCCTTTTCAAGCAAAAAACAGCTGGTGGCTTGGACATGAGGGATTTTTCTCTCTTTGATAAAGCACTAAAGTTAAACTGGGTA